TGTGTTGTGTTGTGTTTTTTGTAGTGTTTTTATTACCCTTTTGGGGTCGTGGTCGTGTAGTTGGTCTGTGTTGTTCGAGTTTTATTCTAGCGTTGCTAGCGGGATTCTAGGCGGTCTTCTGACTTGTCCTCCCATTTTATTCTCCCGTTGGGAGCTTTGTATTTTTTATTCGCACTTTGTGCGCTTTTGATTTATAATAGTATCTCTATCGTTTCGGGAAAAAAAAAAGAATTTTACTACGCCATTAAAATAAATTAATTTATATAAAAAGCAATCGCTTAATCAGATAAAAAAAATATTATATTGATTTATAATAAATAACTCGGACAAATAGCTTTTACAATATAGTTTATGTTTTTGTAACTTTCATATATCATTTAGTGTAAATTATAATTATTAATTTTAATAATAACTATTATATAATACAATTTTTCGAAGGTGGTGAAATTATTTTTTATTATTGTTAGTGTATTTGTCCATGCTTTACATGTGCTGTATTTAGGGCTGAGCATGGGACTCGGAGAATTCTGAACCATTCCGAAAACCGAACCGAAATCACTCCGAACCGAAAAATAACCGTTGACCGTTTGACTTTCTCCGAACCGAACCGAACCGAAAAAAAATTGGTACGATTCTGGAGATTTCACAAATATCCGTACCGAGAACCGAACCGAACCGTACCGTACTGTACCGAACCGAAGAACCGAATTATAACATTAAATGTGTTACTAATATATTTTATGTCAACTTTGATTCTATATGACATAGTAATAAATATTAACACTCACTTAAATTTCATTCTTAGTAATACTTGATCTACAATTGAATTTTTTATATTATAAATAATTATTTAAAAAAATGAAAGTTTAAAAATATTTTTTTAAGAAAAAAAATATTATATTTTATTTGAATTTTCAATTTTTAATATTAGTTGCACAAGTTTAGTTATAACTAAAATTTAGAGTTACTTATAAAGTTGATTTCAAAATAAAATCTTTAAAGTGAGGAAGTAGTGATGAATGTTGGTTTTATTAAAGCATATAAAAATTAAATAACTAAAATTTAGAGTTACTTCTAGAATTGATTTCAAAATAAAATCTTCAATATGATGAATTATTGATGAATGTTGTTTTTTTAAAGCATATAAAAATTGAAATATAACTAGGTAGTCATTCAAAAATAATTTAAAAAAATAAAAAATCTCCAAAGATCCGAACCAAACCATATCGAACCGAATCGTCTGAATAGTCCCGAATACCGAACCGACCGAACCGAAAAATAAAAATCTCCGAACCAAACCGAACCGACTTTTTGGTACGGTTCCGGAGATCGAATTTTGGGATCTCCGAAGTTTGGTACGGTTCTGGAGATTTATCAATCTCCGAACCGTACCGACCCACGCTCACCCCTAGCTGTATTTTCCGTTTTCACCATGATTAATTATTGTAGTGGTACCATCAAAATCAATAGACATTTCAATAAAAATTTATGAAGAGTTTTTTTAAAAATTTATATTTTGGATACATGCTTATGTAATCATGAGTTTCTATAATAAACAATTCGTAATTAAGTTAGCATAGTCATGATTTTATGAAAAATTAAAAAGTAAACATTTTTAGCTAATTAGCCTAAATTGATATACTCAAATATAATAGTGGTCATTAGTTTAGATTTTGTAACTATCCAAAACTAATGTATTTTGTAAAAGTAAGGCTTTTTGTATTTGGAAAAATTTGTGCTATTTATTAGGTAATATTTATTAAGTTTTATTCATGAGGTAAAATTAAATGAAATGCTAGCAATTATATATATATATA